TTTTGGTCATCACAACAGATTTAAACTGAGCACTTTATTTTTCTATCAAGGTATCAAACTTTTATATTGTTCTGCTTCTGGCCTTCTTCTTTGAAGGCTGGAAATGGAACAATTTAATAAAAAGCTATATTAAAAAAGAAATACCTCCATTTAGAGGTGAGCAGAATTAATGTACAGTATTTCATTTCAAGGCTATCTTTTAATAATAATAAAAAAAAATCTAATATTTATTTTGACGAGCACAACACTGGATTAATGTAGCAGGTTGTCAAATATGTTGAACAGTCTGCTCGGCACAGCAGGGTTGGCACTGTGGAAAATGGTGAACTTTGCAAGTTAAGCAGCTGCTTCTGAGCCCAGAAAATATTCTAATAATAAATACTGTCGTGAAGTAAACTTATTAGTAGAAATTAGTCCTTACTCTGTCGCGTGCCCGTCCCATTTACCGGTTCCTTTAAAACCCAGTTCCGTTAGAACTTATGAGACGGTGCATCCATCAGGGTTCGGGGGTGTATCGACGAGTATAATCGTACTAGACCCGGGTTTGGACTACCTAATTAGAATCTTGCCTTTTATTTTAAAGGTGAAATGACTTGCACGAATAGCCAGCCCCAGAGTACTACACTTCTTTTAAACTCATTACCTTTTGGTTAAGATACTAGAGAGAAGTCTGGAGGCAAGCCAAGCCTCTCAGCAATTGTTTGGGTTACCCGGAATTAATTGCGCCTCTAACAGCTTATGTGGGAGGTTGGTAACTATAAAATGATTTATGCTAGTTGATCAGGCTATCATAAGTTTATCAATTTATTTATTAATCCATCCTTCCAGCTGATTAGAGACTTTTTCAACCTGCAATCAGAGCCAAAATAACCTCGAATATTCTGCTTTTATCGCCCTTAAGACAACTCGTTACTCGCAAGGAGGGGGAAGTTAAAACTTCCCTTATCTTAAGGTTTCTTTATATTATTCTATTATAAACTGTAAAGTAAGTCCCGATAATTCAGAGACCGATCTTCGACATGCTTACCTCTGTGCAATTATGGCCAGGGCTCCAAACGTGAAGCTTTAGAGAAAACCTGAAAGAATCAGGATTATGTTTCTTTTTCAAAAAAGGTTTATTACAAAATCAAAATACAAAAATGGGTAAAGTGAAAAACAACTGCTATCCCCCACGGAGGAATTAGTTCAAAATGATTAAATAAGAGTTAGTTTACACTAGCTCTTGTCTTCTCAGAATCTCCCCAAGAACGAAGTCCTGCTCGATCTGAGCTGCATCCTTTTATATCATTTCTGAGACTGCTCTAAACAATGTAAGAGTCACAAGTCATTCTCTCCTGACAGTTTAGGTCAAGGGGTCATTTACCAAATACACTTTTTTAGCTCTACATAAGACATTTGGTATCATTTTCACTACATGCAGTATTCACATGAGGGCACAAAAGTTACATGCTGCACTCCTGGAATGAGAGCACAGGTCATAAATCTTCATGTTGGTAGCAAATTGTAGATCTTCCTCCAGCATTCCTGAGAGCTTCTGGGTCCAGTTGGACTTTCCTCACTCCATGCCAGTCCTTCTTTTCCCGCCAGAGGTGGAGTTAGGGGCGGGCCCAGGGGTGTGTCCATGGGTGGATCCAGAGAAGACAGCCTGTCTTTTGACCCTTTGCCTAGTTCTGTCCTCACCAGCAAGTCCTGAACTATTGTCCTCTTGACCCTTGTGTGACCCTTGTCTCTGACCACTGTTTCTAAGCCTTGACCGGCTGCTCGGACTTGCAACAACTCTATACGATTCGTCACTGGACATGGTGCTGGCTGGCTGGTCACTTCACGTATCGGCAGGGAACCTGACGTCCTGACGGCTGGAAACTGTTGCAGCTACAACCTCCACACACTAGATGTGGCTATGGAGCAGGTGTTCCATATTCAACCTTTAACTATGGCCTTGTTCGAGATGAGCCAGTTCTGCGCAGATTAGATCACCAGTGATCGGCGTGCAGTGCATGCCGGTTAGATTTGTGTCCGACTTGACGCCGTCTTGCTCTGACGTCATGCATACGTAGGCAACGATAAACTCGTGAGATCAAGGCGGCCACAGATTTTGGAGCAAGGCGCTGCAGTTGCTCTCCACCGGCTGCAAAACCTAGGGGATGACGGGAAACGCCTGGCTCTCACCTGATCTAAGATCTGATTGGTTCACATTCTGATCCAAACATCTGGGGGTAGAATGTGAAATGTTAGTTGGTCACGTGTATTCTGTAAATCATGTTACATAAAGGCCATAAAAAGAAATGTGATTTGTGTTATTTTGCCATGTTTCCTATGAGCACACTAAACCTACAGCTGAAAACCTTTACTTATTATTACAGTCATGTCTTCATATACAATATATGATATCCACAAGCACGCAAGGATGTGTTTTGGTTGCTAACAGGCACCAGAATTAAAATAAATAATTAAGCAAGTATAAACGCTAACGCAATATCTTCATCCATTGTCACCCGCGAGCTACACATGTAGGGAAATCTGTCCGACTTAAACACCGGCTTTCAGCCACTCCCCCTGCTGCTCTCGTCTGTTTTCCACGCGAGGCGCTGCTCAACTCGAACAAGGCTTACGGCTTCATCCAAGCAGCTGCTATTAAAATAAATACATTAACCAACACCCACAAAGCAGAATTAGGAATAAGTATCTTACTGATAGACCAAGTGAGAAACTTTCAGATGGGAAATGAAAACACTTTTGGGCTTCGATGAAATATTGAGATGTGCTTTTTTTTAAATCGATTGTTCACTGCTCTCTGGGGTGTGAACAGGAAATGTCAGATCTTCACAGAACATCCTACTGATCAGTGATTTCATTTGTTTGAAAGCAAAATGAAGTTTGTGTTGAAAAACCAGAGTGTATGGGGTCAGTTGAGCTTTGAGGTGGAGTTATTGGTGTTTACAGCCAGAACCAGAAGATGTTTGAGTGTTAAAGGAGTGGGACACCAAAAACATTTTTTAATTTAACCTTTAGTTTTTTCAATATTTCTGATTATAATCAGTCAGTCTGAAGTTTTCAGGCAGGCTGGATATGAAAATAGTCTCCTACTCCCATCTCCTGCATTTGCTGACAGAAAATAGATGGTGAAACTCTAGGATTTGAAAAGCCTGACAGATCTATGTCTCACTGTGAGTTAACATTCATGGACTCACCCATCTTGACTCGCAACAGGGAAGGCTGTTGTTGGTTTAGCATCCAAAAACAGCAGAGAATGCCCTGACATGTGGAATCTAACTGTTAGCATTAGCAACTCCACCACAAAGCAGAACTCCTTCAGGCTTGTGTTATTGTATATTGAGCTTTGTCTTTCGACACTCGAAGCGTACAGACGACTCTCTTTTCCTTTTATGTTTTTTCTTCTGTTTGGAGTGGGAGGACTTCTGGTATTTTGGAAAATGCAACCTGTACACATGGCCAATCTCAGCTGTGTGGAGACTGCTCAGACTGGGATGCTGCTTGAAGTGATTTGCAAGCTATAGGTTCTAGCTGCTATTGAAAGGCAGAGAGGAAATTATTTCTGCCTGCCCCAAAACAATTATTCTTATCTGAATAAGGTGCCCTGGTAGCCTTGAGCTGCGAGAAGAAAAAACCTCCATGAAGGACTTCAGACAGATGCTCTGAAACCTCCCTGCATTTGGAATTGTGGCCTGCCTGGCAAGGACACAAAACCCTAAGGAGTCAATGTGCTCTTCACTCCCTGGATCTCCATGTATGTCAAATCTTGGACTGGTTGTTCTGAAACTAATTTCATTGTACTGGGATACTAGTATAATGACAATAAAAGACTCCTGATTCTTATTTGTGGAGATAAAATATCCATGTGGCAGAGCAAACAGAGTCAGTGTTGTGACACTGTTATTCAATCTGGGATGAGATGTCCAAATACCAGGAAATAAGACTCCAACTCCTGCCGTGGTAAGCTCACCTCTGAAGTGGCATTCTGCTAGTTCCTGAAACAAATGCATCCGAGCTATTTTCCCCCCAAATATGACTTGCATGAAGGCACTGATTCCAACTATAAACTACTGCAGATGTATTGATTAAACCAGTGTCCCACACCTTTAAGTAAAAAAAAAAGGTTTAATCAACTCTCAGGCAAAACCCAGAGATGCAAACAGGATGAATGAATCCCGTTTGCTCTGTTGTATCTCGGCTGCATGGTGGCGCAGTGGTTAGCACTGTTGCCTCGCAGCACGAAGGTCGCAGGTTCAAAACTCGCCTTTCTGCGTGGAGTTGCGTGTTCTCCCCATGCATGCGTGGGTTTTCTCCGGGTACTCCGGTTTCCCCCACAGATCATAACATGCCCTATAGGTTAAAAAATAATTGTAAGTCGCTTTGGGTAAAAGCGTCTGCTAAGCACATAAACAAACATGTTTCCACTCAACATGTGCCAGATAACTGGACACCTTCAGCAGGGGAAAAGAGTAACTCTGCTAGATACGTTGTAGACAAAAATAAAACACGTCCAGGTGTGTGCACAAGTCCCTAATAAAAAACATCATAATGAATAGTTTTTTAACATTGCTTTCATACAGATAATTTGATCATAGCACAAGAATTTCAGCTTTAAGTCAAACTAACCAGAGCTGGGATGAAACCAAATTCCAGGATTTACGTTTTTAGCTTCACAGCATGTTTTCCTTTCTGTCTAATTGAGCCTCTTTATTGACAAAGCCTGAATGAATCCTGTTTGCTCTGTTGTATCTCGTTACAATCGACATGTCCTGTTTGAAATGCGAACAAATGTTTAGTAGTAGTAGGATACGGTGATCCCCAACCACTAAGCATAGCTCATCTCTGCATCCTTCAGATGGCACACTATACTCATAACAGAGGTTTGGGGATGTTGTTTCTATCATATTTGCCTCTCCTTTAATAATACCCCTTCTGTTGTAGTGTTGGTTATATTAAAGAGGAGAAAAGATTGAATAAAAATTCCAAACTTTTTAGGATGAGTCAGTTCAAAGTTCCTGATATATTTGGAGAATCTGGCATGACAGATTCACATCTTTAGAATCTAAAAGTCACATAAATCAACTCCTCTTGAGAAAAACCCACAAACACGTGAAATTAACGTGAAATATGTAAAATACATTTGAACTATTTACATGTGAACACGTTTTCCCACACGGGCTCAAATTACAAGAACACTCAGCAGTTTATGTTTTAGGGTTTCGATAAAAAAACATAAAACCATGTTATTCAGATTTTCTGTTATTATTGCTTTACAAAATCTTTTGCACCCCCTGTTTTGACCTCTGACATCAAAATTCAATGGAAGGTTTCAGAAATGGGAATGAAAGCATCCAAATGAGTGACTCTTCTTTTTCTTCTTTTCTCCCATCATATCTAAGGAGGTGTCATGGGTGCTGACGCAAACAGCCCAGCCCAGCCCCCCTGCTTTATAGTGAGAGAAAAAGGTCCAGACGTAGAGAAGCAGGCGACAGACGGAACGAGCGCCGCTGGAGCGCAGACGCATCTGGTGCGCAAGGAGAGACCAGGCTGCTCCAGGACGCAGCAGAAGCAACATATGCTGCACAGAAAACTCTAGAACGGAGGAATGTATCTTTATTTGTGTCTGACTCTTGAGTGATGCATACAACTAAACCAGAGGATTTATCAAACCCCCGAGAGCGCCCATGGAGACGCGCCTGAGCAGAAACTACAGGCGTAAAAACCCCGGTGCCATGATGCAGCAGCGGGACGCACAACAGCTGTAGGTCAATTGGGCAACCTCACAAGTGAATCTAAAGGAGAAAAGCATCCATCATGAACTTGTCCGAGTCTGTGTGGGTATTTGGAGAGCCCTGGAACCTCAGCATGGTGGAGGAAGAGGAGCAGCAACTTTTATTTGGAATCGGAACGGATAATTTCATTACGCTGCTGGTTTTCGGGCTCATCTTCACGCTGGGCGTGCTAGGTAACTCCATGGTGATCACCGTGCTGGCCCGGAGCAAACCCGGGAAACCGCGCAGCACCACCAACATCTTCATCCTCAACCTGAGCATTGCGGACCTCTCCTACCTGCTCTTCTGCATCCCGTTCCAGTCCACCATCTACATGATGCCCACCTGGGTCCTGGGCGCCTTCATTTGCAAATTCATCCACTATTTCTTCACCGTGTCCATGCTGGTGAGCATCTTCACGCTGTCTGCCATGTCCGTGGACCGATACATCGCCATCGTGCACTCCAGAAAGTCCTCGTCCATCCGGGTGGCAAGGCACGCGCTGATCGGCGTGGTGGTGATCTGGATCCTGTCCCTGGCCATGGCAGCGCCCGTCATGCACTACCAAAACATCTTCCAGCGAGGGGAGAACTACACCTTCTGTTGGGAAGTGTGGCCAGATCAGAGCCACAAAAAAATCTACGTGGTCTGCACGTTTGTTTTTGGGTATGTGCTGCCGCTGCTGCTCATTTCCTTCTGTTACGCAAAGGTAAGGAAACTGCTATGGGTCAGTCAGTAACAGAGACACAGTCAACCACTCCTCACACAAAACACGTGTTTTATTTTTTACTTACAGGTGATAAATCACTTGCACAAAAAACTAAGAAATATGTCCAAAAAGTCAGAGGCGTCAAAGAAAAAGGTAGGTATCAATCAAGTTGTTTGGATTTGGTGTCCTGCAAACTGCTGCAGCAATTTGTTACAATTTTAGCTAAAACATGAGAAAACTAAGTGAATTACCTGTTGAACAGACAGGGGTGCACACAGATATGTTTGAGAAGGGCAACAGGATGGGGGCCGTAGTCCTGAGGTGGCAGAATAAAAACATTAAAATTGATTTTCAGGAGATCTAAAGTCCCACTAGTTGTCACACACACTAGTGTGATGAAATGTGTTCTCTGTATCTGACCCGTGGGGAGAGGTGAGCTGCAGACACAGCTGCACTTAAAAAATATTTGGTGTCTTAACACCCCCCCCCCCCCCCAATTAAAAGCTGAGTGCCAAGCAGAGACATTGGGTCACATTTTTAAAGTCTTTGATATGACCCGACTGGGATTTGAACCCGCAGTCTCCCAGTCTCAGGGTAGACACCACTGGTCACTCAGCTGGTTTATTATAAACATATTTAAATTATGTGGAAAACTACAGAAAACTGAGAGTTTGACAGTTTGATACATATTTTATTTTCATTTATTTAAAGTTATTCTTTACCTTATAATGTATGTTTGTATTTTATAACCTTTTTATGATTTATTACTTCCACATATTTTCACAGCCCTAATCCATAACACTTAGTGTGTATGTGTCTACATAGGAACTACTGTTGTATAAAGTGTCTTGTCTTTTGCTATCTGTCCTGAGTTGTGGTAATGCACACATTTCCCCACTGGCATCAATAAAATCAAATCTTATCTTATCTTATCTTATATTATCTTATCTTATCTTATCTTATCTTATCTTATCCTATCTTATCTTATCTTATCAAGGCCAAATAAAAATGAAAAAACTGATCCAAGCCTAATTATTCCCCTCTTATTCGTACGAATCATATTAGATATGCCAACTTCTAAAACCTCTACTTCATTAACAGGATTAGTACAGTCTTCAAAGACCAGCTGTAACCAGAGTTATATGTGATCTGCCCCCTGGTCGTGAAGTTAAAGGCTGCAGAAGAGCCAGCTTCATTTGATCAAAATGTTGACGCTAGCCAATTGGTCAGTTTTCTGATAATTATGCAATCAATGAGTTATTTACCAGATTTGGTGGATTATTGGATATTCACTAGAAAACAAAATGTTAATGTTAATTTAGAACATTTAAAGTCTAAGCAATAAAACATACTCTTTAACGTAAAATAGAGCAAGTTTTTGTGAGTAAAACAGGACGTAAGAAGCCAACTGTCTCAGGAGGTTAACGTTGTGCGTTTTCATATGAAGAACGAGTTTAAATATAAATGACTAAAATAATCAGGTCAAAATTTCTTCACCTTTTGAGTCTCTGCATTATAAATGTAATTCATGGAATCATTAATTAGTGTTTTATTTAAATTCACATTTCTATCTAGTTACTGGCATTTATGAACCATACAGGGTGCAACAAGCCTCCCTTCAACCAGACACTGGGCCATCACCAAGAGAAAAACATCTTTTTGTTCTGCTTGAGGCTTAAACAGTGAATATTAATGCTTTCTGATGGCTAGTACTCTGGTGAAGTGCCCAAAAGCTAACGAGTTATCAAACAGAACAATCTAGACCTCATTATTCTTGGTGGAGGTTATTTACTGTAGCCTGACGGGACCGTTTTCTGCCGTGGCCTGCTTGATTGTCGATCAGTCAATTATTTTTTTATATTATATTTTTCACAGCTGGTCAGTTGAACATCTGATAGCCTCCCTCTCCCCGATGTGATAAGGCCAGGAGAGCAGACGCCTGGCTCGTCACCAGGGCCTGATGAGAGCAGAAATCTGCTTTGATGTGATTGTACACCGTTTTACAGCAGCGCTTTTCTGAACGAGGCTCGAAAAAAGTGTGGGAGCTAAAGCAGGAGTGTCAAATATTCTCATGATTTACTGAACCGAGTGCTGAGAGAATGCGCAGAGAGAACATTAGAAAGCTTTGTGATAAATGGCTGGTAAAAGTGCATTTAACCTGCAATAAATACATTTCTGAGCTATAGACACACATTAGATTAGGAGGTGTTAGAACTGAAGCTGTCACAATGCTGCCAAAGTGAATAATTTCCCCAATAACAGCTGGATTTATAGGGCACCCTATAGCAACTTGTGTTTTCTAAACAGTGTGTGTGTGTTTAAATGGAAGACAGCAAATTGAGAGATGATTTATGCACAGTAAAGCACATTTTCTTTGTAGAACCAATCATTTGTGAGCAGGAAGCAGAGATCAGGGACTGTCTTCATTTGTTTCTTTTAGCTTGTGTCTACAGGTTGGTGCTTTCACCAAACCTCACAGGATTAAAGCTAACTTAACATACAGCTGCACTCCAGTCATGTCTGTTCCATCATTTAAAAACCCATTTTTATTACTGAAAAGGTTACAAACAAGGTGAACTTTAAGGCTCCCCAGTGGCTGATTTTTCAGTGCCTACCACGGTGTGAAATTAGAGTAAAAGCAATTTAAGTTGACTTCCTGGAGGAAACGAACACTTGTAGAGTCACAGCTCAAGCGAAGTCTGACACCGTTTTCTGGTTGTTGAGTTTCAGGAAAGCTGTCCAAACAACCATGACCAGAGTTAAAGGATGCTAATGTACAGTTTACTGAGACACAGTGTGAACAGCTTCATACTGGATCAAAACGTTTGTATGAGTTAAAGTGACGATGTGTATTTTCCCTGGCGACAGGGGGCAGTACATGTACAAGTCATTGCATATTTTGTCCTCACGGGCTCCCGTAGAAGGAAATATGGCATTAACCAGAGACTTAGGGTGTTTCTCAATGTCAAGGTGCCTGGCCTAGCAAAGCATCTTGCTCACGAGGACACTGTCCTTCCTTGGTCGAAGAAAACGGTTGAATGGAACGGACTTACCTCATGTGATCGTGACTTCCGCAGCGGCACGTCATGTGATTATATGTCTAAGTTTCAATACACATGTATAACAAGTCTTTTACCTTTTTAACTGTGTATATTGTGCTACTTGTGCTACAAAAGTAGCACAATATACACAGTATATATTGTGTATATGCACAACACATACTATATATAATCTAAATTCCTCATACATTGTGAGGCACCAAGTCGAATAAGGAACACAGGCAATCTCCAAAAATAGAGGTTCTTTAATTTCCTTTTTTTAAATTAAATATCTTAACAAAATAGCTCGAGCTCATAAAAGACATCAAACAAACAAACCTAAACTCAATAAACTGCAAACTTAACATGTCGACTGACTGAAAACCATAAGTGACCCAACAAACAAAGACACACAAGGGTATATATACACACTGGCTGATCAGACCATATGAACAATAGGGATTACTAGACAAACATTTACTAACTTAAACAAAAACAACAAATCAGTACAGTCAAATTGTTAATAAACCTAAACGCCCTACCCCATAAACCTAAATATTTAACTTCAAACTTAAATTAATTAACAAATGACAAAATAATAAACTAAAGGAAATCCTACATTCCCCTCTTCCTGGATCTATTGGTTTGGCCCCATCAGCTCCTCCTGTATTTATCTGACAGAACCAGTGTTGCCAACTGTTTTTGACTGAAAGTAGCTGAAGTTCCCCCCCAAAAGTCGCTAGATGTCGTCAGATGATGTCACGTGCTTATTTGCATACGACACAATGACAAACAATGGTTTGTGTGATGACGTCACCATGTTTGCGTCATGACGTCACCGGTCTTGTAGAGTAAATCAAATAAAACCCGCGTGATTTTACTTTAAAAATTATTTAATTTATTTTTAAATATTTTATTAAAATAAAAACCCCATAGAATACAAAACAGCAGCCTTTAAAACATCAAGTAAAGATGGCACATAAAAATGGAAGGAATATTTCTATTTTGTCTGAAGAGAATGGAACTTGTAAACACAAAAATATTAAATTGATAGGAATGTATGTATGATTGAATTAAAATGAATTTTCTCTTGTAGTTTTCAAGTGCCTTGAGATGTATTCTTCTGTTGTGATTCAGTGCTATATATTGACCTAAAAGACAATATATATATATATATATATATATATATATATATATATATATATATATATATATATTGTTTTTGTTTGGTTTTGTTGCTTCTAGTACTTTTGTGTAAAAAGAAGCAGGCCGTATTTAGTACTCAGAAACGTTACATGCAAACTGCCAATGACCTGAGGTGTTTGTCTTACAGTATTATTCTGTTTTTTATAAAAGTTTTAAATGTGCTACGTTATTGAACTCATCATAGAGTTCCAATGTTCCTTGAATGCACCACAAGTGGTGCGAGAAGCCATGCGTGAGTGTGACGCTGCCAGCCAGTGCCAGCTGAGCTCAGCTGCCGAAATGCAGCAGGATGGCGGAAGGAGCGGTCGCCCTTTATGTAGCTCTGGTGGCTATCAAATAATGGACTTGTGAAAACCCACAAAAGGTTTGATTGGTCAATGGGGGTAGCGTGATCATGCTGCATACACATGCGCAGATCATTTTCTTTCTGATTCTCTGGAAGGAAGGACGGTCCTGTTGCTTCAGACGCCTCGCTAATCTGCAGGTAAAGTCGGCTACAAAGTTGTAGTCAAAGTAGCTGAGGGGGGTCAGAAATGTCGCCAGATTTGTCGCTAGGCACTTTTTTGAAAAAAAAAAAAGTCGTTTAGGGGGTCTGAAAAGTTGTTAGAAATGGTGACAAAGTCGCTAAGTTGGCAACACTGGACAGAACCCCTTCAACACTGCCTTTGTGAAGCGAATCAGGGCAGTAGGAGATGCGCGTTTTGCTACCTCTAACCCGTTGGCAGTGTAACGGAATTGAAGTGATGTAACTATCTAAAGTTGTATTTTAATACACTGTAGGTAGTTCACTTTTTATAAACAGAAGAATAGGCTGTTTTTATCATCAGGGAGTTTAATTAAACACTCTGTATTGACTTTGAGACAAGAAAAGAGAGAGAGATGGGATCGTTTGAGAATCTTTAATTTCTG